GCCGGGTACGAGGCGCGGCAGGCTGGACTGGCCATCGGCGCGCGGAGGCCTCGGGGGGGTCGCGTCGGGCGCTGGGCGGGACGTCCACTTCACCCTGCAGGCTGGGGCGACCCGGCGGGGACCGCAAGAAGGCCGGGAGGGGTCGAAGGTGCCCTAAGCTGCAATACCCATTAGGGGTCCTGGGACGCTCTGGCAGAACGATTTTGAGTCTGTTGGCTGGGAGCGACCCCTGCAACCTTGAAGTTTGCCGGACAAAACACAGTAAAATGTTCGGGTTCAGATAAACAACGAATCTCTCCGTCGTGTAAGTCTATCCCCGACTTCGCGTCCCCAGCAAATGTCGGGGATAGATCTAGACTACGCAGTAATTTGCTGTTTATCGGAAAGTTATCGATATGATCAAGTGGAGCGCGCCGCATTTGTATTTGCTAAACCTGACAACCCTCCCGCGGGCAGTAAAGGTGAGGCTGCCCACTAGGAGGGCACGTTTATGAGGGCAGGGACCGCGGCTTAGTCTCATTGGCTAGGTCGAGGTCATTGTTTCCCTTGCGCATCAGCTTTAATACCCCGCGCCCCCAGACCTGTGGAGTGGAGACCGATGTCCAGGCCAATGCCCTGCCCGGTTATCCGCCCTGTCACCTGCTACCTCTGTGCCCTCCCTCGTGCAGCCATCCCTTCCTCTGGGAGCCTCTTCCTATGCACTTGATAGAGTCACCCCTATCAGTTTTGCTGGACTCTCGAACTGTTGATGAGCCCGTCATGGGTGCTAGTCTACTGTGGAGTAACATCTGACTGAGTGGTCTTAGAGCCACAGTAGTGTTTCTGCAGGTATGTGCATCCTCGGGTATCTAGTACTTCGCTTGCCTAGCACATAGTAGGGGCTCCATAAATGCAAATAAGCATGGTTTGTGGTGATGATTCTATCCTGGACTTGAGATTTTTTTTTAAAGATTTATTTATTTATGCATACAGGAACTGGGGTGTAGACCGGCAGTATGGGGGTGTATGTGAGAGGATTCACCAGAGACAGAGTGGGACGCAGAACAGATAGATTGACTGAAATACACTGCTGAGGGCAGCAGGGGGCCAGACAGGAGAGGTCTGCTGTGCCCTTTGGGTCATCTCCTTGGCTGGGGATTGAATTTAGGACTTAGTAGCTGGTGATAGCTTCATAGTGCTGACACTTAACTCCTTGTGCCTCCAGGGAGGCTCCTGGCTGTGGACTTTCTAACTTGCTACTCCTAACCCTTTCCTGACACAGGCACTCGGACCTTTTTTGCCAGGAAGGTTTTCTTATCTATTGGGAAGCGTGGGATAATAGATTATACACAGGGGCCTCCCTGGTGGTGCAAGGAGTTAAAGTGCAGCACTATGAAGCTATGTGCAGCTACTGCAGCATGTGTTCCATCCCCAGCCAGGGAGGTGACCCACATGGCACAGCAGACCTCTTCTGTTTTGCCTGCTGCTCCCCTCAGCAGTGCATTTCAGCAGATCCACCTGTTGTTTTTCCCATTGTCTCTGTTGAATCCTCTCAACCCCTACCCCTGCACCTCTGGTCTGTACCCCAGTTCAATGGATTATAAACATTAGAAAGTTATATAATGTTCAGATAGAGGAGTCTCTCTTTAAATGCTTTGTGATCACTAAAGATGTTTGTTAGTTTCATTATTCTCAGTATGTAGACACTCTGAGACAGAAGCTTCTCACCCAAGAATAACATGTAAGGGACCATTTAATGTGGATTCTTCAAACAGTGCAACAATTTTCTGCTGTACACTAAAGCAAAAAATACTTTTATTGATAACTTAGGAAAAAAAAGAAACTAGACATAACATAAAAAGCAGCTTGCTTTTCTTTTTTTTTTTAAAAAAAGATTTATTTATTTATTCTTACAGAACTGGGGTACAGGTCAGAGATGCGGAGGGTGAGAGGATTCACCAGAGGCAGAGTGGGGAGCAGAACAGGCAGATCGACGAAGTACACTGCTGAGGGGAGCAGCGGGCGGGTCAGGAGAGGTCTGCCGCGCCATGTGGATCACCTCCGGGGCAGGCAGGAATGGAACACATGCGGAAGTGGTTTAAGCTTCTTTGTGCTGTGCTTTAACCTGCTGCGCCACCAGGGAGGGCCCAGCAGCTTGCTTTTTATTCACAGTGAATGAATGAAGTGTTGATTTGAAGGGAGACTTTCCTATCAGAACTTGAGTTTTGCAGCATAATTCTCTGAAATATTTGAAATTTCAATTCTTGATCTTACCTCTTACTTTTTAGATGTTCAAGTAATTCTCTCTTGAATCCTCTAATATCTCATTCTGCAAGGTCTATAACTTTGTTCAGCAGTTAGTTTGCTTCATGATATTGGTATTGTTCTAACAATCCAGTAGGACCTGACTGATGAAGAAAAGTGAAATGGATGAGGAAAGTTTGAGGAATGAGCAGGAAATTTGGTAATCTTAATCTGTTCAGTTTTTCACTGAATATTTTCCTGTTGTCAATGAATGCTTCCTTTTTATAGATTTTCAGCAACTACGTTTTGGATAATAAGTGCTGAGGTAATGCAGGTCCCAGTAATCAAGAAATAACAGTTGTTATTTGACATTTCAAACATTATCAAGCATTTACTATAGACAAAGCACTGTTCTGCTTTCTGTGTATCAATTCAAGCTTCACCAAATCTGTGATGCATGACTGTGATTCCACTTTACAGACTGGCAAACTTTGAGCAAGGGATCCTATGATTGAGATGTCTTAGTTTCCCTTAGACCTTTGAATATTTGTAGGTTCCCTGGTTCACAGAATTAATGGATGCCAACTTTTAAACACAGTAATTGTGGTTTGATCAGATAATTAATAAGGTCATTGGGAAGCTAGTTAGAGAAGCTTGTACTCTTTGATTTTAGTGAACATACTTTGTGAACTGATATTTGTGCAGATAATAATTAAAGCTTTCCTACTTAATTAGTTTGGATATACATTTGCTTATCTGGGTTTCTTCAAATGTATCTTATCTGATATACTTAATGTTTAAGAAACAGTACTTACTTATTAAAATTCTTTACAGGATGGGGAACAGAACATCTTCAACTTTGGAGATGTCAGCAACTGCTCCTGTGAACCAGATCCAGGTGAGTGACATGGGGAATACAGGAAAGAACTTTCTAGTAAAAGAATTGCGTCTTAACACATAAAGTATACTTATCCAAACTTGATATAGTTCAGCAAGTGAATTATTACATTAACATATATTTTTAAGTCTGCTGTCAAAATAACCCTTGTGACCATATAACAACCTCTCACCGATACTATAATCTCTGCTTTTTTTTCTTTTTGATTACAAAGCCCAATAAAGTCTGCTGCAGAACAGCTTTCTTGTTTTTCTTTTTCTGCTACTGACATCCTTATGCTTTTCTCTATTCCTCACCTTGAAACACTACTACCTACATAAAATCTGTCTTTATTTGAGTGAAAATGTAGTCCTTCATAGCTACAAGCTATAATAGCAATGCCAGAAGCATATTGCGAGAGAGTTGCTTCTCTTAGAATACAGAACCAACAAGGATGCACCTGAGAAGTGGTGGAAGGGGTGGGGGGTCAGGAAACTCTGAGTTCTCGCTTACTTTGCTAGTCCACAATGAGTGCTGTTCCCACTGTGCCTGTAACCTTCAAGCTCAGGTAGAGGAAAGAGCACTGGCTTTGGTGCTGGATCAGATCCCCATATAGTGAGCTTGTCAACCTCAGTAGTCTTATCTATAAAATGGAGATTCATGTCTGATATGACTGCCTCTCCTTCAGATTTCTTTTTATTTATTTATGCATACAAGACCTGGGGTACAGGCCAGAGGTGTGGAGGGTAAGAGGATTCACCATAGACAGAGTGGAGTATAGATCAGGCAGATGGATTGAAATACACTGCTGAGGGGAGCAGTGGGCAGTTCTGGAGAGGTCTGCCACACCATGTGGGATACCTCCCTGGCAGAGAGTCAAACTAGGGCTGCAGTGGCTACAGATAGCATCATAGTGCTATGCTTTAACCCCATTGTGCCATGAGGGAGGGCCCATCCTTCATATTTATTTATATACAAATATTATGGGCAAGTAGAAGAAAGGGAAGGATAGGCTGTGACGCAGTAATCTTCAAGCTGTGACACCCAAAGGGAGACAGAATTTTGGAATCACGTTGCCTGGGTTCTCGCTTTTTGACCTTCATCATGAGGTGCTACTTATGACTCACCTGAGAACCTCCTGGACAGATGCGCAGCTGCTGGACCTATCCACTCAACATTTCTTGAGGAACCTAAGCATTTATATGTTACAAAGAAAACACATTTTACAGTAATGCAAGCAAGCTCTCATGGACTTTGTGATAGAGACCTGTAGAATATTTTACATTAACATAATTGGAACCAATCTAGGAAGGTTTTGAAAAAGAGTTTCTGGCAGCTCTTTCAAACCCATGGAGTCAACATTTCTAGAAGTAGCTTTTCTAGAACCAATAGTATAAGCATACCTTAGCAAGGCTGCAATGACAGTTTTTTTTTTTTTTTTTTTATGATAAAGATGTATAGGAAGGAGTGAAAGATGAGGAATAAGCTGTTTATACCTGGGTCAGTAAAGACATGTTTTATAGAGAAATCATATATTGGTCCCCATCATTGAAAGTCACAGTTGGTAGTTTGAGCATTTTTTTTTTTTTTTTTTTACCAATTATTTGAGAAGGAATATTAAGAAGAGACAAAGTGTGTAGATTCTGGAACCAGAATTAGTTCAGATTCCAGCTCACCCAGCTATTAGCTGAGAACCTTAAATACATTATTTAGCTTCCTTTGTGCCTCACTTTCTTCATCTGTAAAGTGGAGATAATAATAGGACTTACCTCAGTATTGCAGTGAGGTTTTCATGAGGCAGTAAGGGTAAATAATTGAGAGATATGTCTGCTACAAAATGTTTGCTATATATGAACTAGTTATAATTGTTAATGGCACACAACGCCTTTTTAAGTTAGGTAGGTGCTTTTCCTAATGATATTTCTCTGAAGTGAATGTTCTCTTCAATTGATAGACGAGAACACTGGCTGATACTTATTTGAAGCCTAAAATTCATATCCTTTCCACTGTGATTTCTTTCCCCAGAATTTCTTTTACAAAGGTAATATCTAAAGTTAGAATTTTGTTTTTGTTTTACTTCAGGAAACCATTTCTAATAATTGTGTGGTGATTTTCTCAAAAACATCTTGTTCTTACTGTACAATGGCAAAAAAACTTTTCAATGACATGAATGTCAACTATAAAGTGGTGGAATTGGATATGCTTGAATATGGAAGCCAGTTTCAGGATGCTCTCTACAAAATGACTGGAGAAAGAACTGTGAGTATCTGGTGGTGATCTGGACCACCGAGAGCCTTGCTTTGTGAAAAAGAGATGGCTGATGGAGGAGCCAGATTCCTAGAGTAGGAAAGAGCTGAGCTAAATCATTTCCTTTTTCTTCATGTTTGTGTGATTATAAGAATGTATGTGTCAGTTGTTAAGGTCCTGCCTGGAGCCATTTTAGACCTGAAATTATCCAGCCTGGACAGTAGAGGTGAGAGCTCTTTCAGTTTCTGAACTAATAGGAATTTGCTCCTTAATGCTTAATGCTCCATGTTTTCTAGATTCTGAAATTTGTAGAAGTTTGCATCATATGCTTATCAGACAAATATGCAATGTTTACACTTTTCCTTCTTACTTACATGTGCATGGAGACATTTAGAGTGTATTTATCCCATTTAGTAAATAGATGTAAAAAAATGAACATTAATAATTAGAAACTTTTATTTCAACTTTTAAAAATCAGAATGATTAGGAGGAAGGGCTTGAGAGTAAGATTGTTCGGGACTGAAATGCCAGCTCTGTCCTTTTCTATCCCTGGTCTTGGGTAAGTTCCTATGCCTCATTTTCCTCCAAAATGTAGGGTTGTAAGTAGTAGTATTTACTGCAACAGATGGAAAACTAAAAGAGGTCATTTTCTGAGGCTCTGAGTATGGTATCTGATCCAAAAAAATACCCAAAGACCGTGTCTGTTATTCCTATGTAAAATGATCTTACACTTCTGACACCTACTCTTCTTTATCCAACAGGTGCCAAGAATATTTGTCAATGGAACTTTTATTGGAGGTGCAACTGACACGCACAGGCTTCACCAAGAAGGGAAATTGCTGCCCCTAGTTCATCAATGTTATTTAAAGAAAAGAAAGAGGAAAGAATTTGAGTGATGTAGGTGCTGCTAGCTTTGCAAAGGAAATGTCAGTATTCAAAATGATAATGCCTGATAATGACTTTTAAATTTGGGAGATGTTTTAAATAAGTAAATTATCTTCATGAAAAAAAATGTTATAGTAAGAACAATAAATTACTGTAGAACCCTCACTTTTTTTCGTGTCCATTCTTGAGAAAAAGGGGTGTAATTTTAGACTGAAGGAGTAGAGTTATATCAAAAGATAAGACAATGAGTTTTATTGAGAACTTACCTGTGAATTTAACAGCCGAGAACTAGAAGGTAAGCATTTGGGATTCTTTATTCCATATGGTATTCAGGAGTTTACTCCTTATTTTATAGCTTTCAGTGGTGAACACTAATGTAATTTTTCTTTAAAATCAAGTGTCTGAGATGTTTGTGAACTCAGGAGGGATAATCTTTTTCTTAAAAAAATTTCATAATCTTTAAAAAATTTTTAAAAATATATTCATTACATCATCCTTCATTTTTCTACAATGTATAATTTCCCCATGAAATCCTCACCACCAATTCACCCATGTACCGTCACCATAGTCTCTTGTGGTCTTCCCATTTCAGGAGGGATAATCTTATATTATTTTGGGTCAAGCCTTCACATTTTCTACCCCTCGAGTAAGAGAAGTATATTTGTAGAACAGACTATTTCAGAGAAACAAACTATCTCATTTAATGACTTAGTAATTCCAGTTAATAGAACTGTACTTATGAGCAGGAAGAGTTCAGCATTGTATAAGGATGGATGTTTGAATAGTGCAAAACTGTACTTGAGTTAATCGTGAGGTAGACAATTCTGCTTTCTAGAAATGTTGAAAGGCTATTGGAAATGTCCCATCAAGGATCCAATATTTGTATAAATTAGACTACATGCCCCTAAATGATTACTGACAGACATTTTTCAGTCCTGTGAGTGGGAATACTTTTCAAACTGATCTTATTTTTGATAGACTGAGTAAACAGAATTTATCCTATAAGGAAGCCATTTTTTTGTTTTAAAGACTTATTTATTTATGCATAGAAGAACTGGGGTGTGGGCCAGAGGTGCTGGGGGTGAGGGGATTCACCAGAGACAGGGGAACAGAACTGGCAGATGGACTGAAATACATTGCTGGGGGGAGCAGCGAGTGAGACAGGAGAGGTCTGCTGTGCCATTTGGGTTAGCTCCATGGCAGGGGATGGAACTTGTGCTGCAAGTGGCTGTGGATAGCTTCGTAATGCTGTGGTTACTTCACCCCTTGCACCACAGGGAGGCCAAAGGGAGTCTTTTGAACAATTAAAAATACTTGGATACCTAGCTAAGGGTTTGTGCCTAGTGCATTTAAAAGACCAAAATTATGGCACTGGCATTTTGAAAGAAAGGGTTTATTTGCAAATTGACTGGCAAGAAGATAGGAATTAAAACTCAAATCTGTCTTCCCACCCAGCAAAGGGAAGGTGCTTATATTGATTTTGGGGGAGTGGCTTTAAGAACAGAGGAGTTACAGTTGGGTAAGGGTGTGCTAAGGGCAGAGGAATGTAGACAGAGCTCAAGTCCACTGGGTAATAAGCAGCCTTTACGGGGAAAGGTCCCTTTGAAATGACAAGTCATCCAGGTGGGCAACTTCTAATTCTGAATGCAGTCCAGGTTGTCTTTTGGTTTTTTGGTACATGTGGGATGTTAGTTTGAGGTCAATCACCTCATATGCAGTCTGTGTAGCATGCCCTGTGCTTCTCTGAAAACTGAAAATAAGTAAGTTCAAAAGATGATGCACATCTAACTCCTACTGATGGTGAATCAGCTACCACTTCAGCAACATATAGAAATTTTAAATGTGCTTAAAAGTTATTTACCTATCCGAGTTCACAGAATCACACAGGGCAGATTACCAGTTGATGGGAAGGGAAAACTTCCTCAGAGGTGGGAGGATATAGTTTAAGAGAAATGGAGTGCTTCTGCTTTGTGGTCAAGATGGACTGGGGAGATTGGGGTAGTTCTGCAGAAAGCAATTGGTAGTTCCAGAGCCATTTGCCATCAATGATAGATTCCTACACGGATTTATTAAGCAGACCTCAAAAACCAAGGATTTGGTGATGTTTATAACTCTGGGATGAAACAAATTGTGTCCTTTGATCCTTTTTTTGTATCATGTCATGAGAGATTTTTAAATGCTGGCTAGGTTTATTGAAATCTTTTTTAGAGCAAAGGAAGTCAATTATGTGATGTGACTTACAATAAAAACTTTTTTGTCTGGTTCCTGGAATAGTTCCAAAAATCCTCGGAATTTCCTATGAAGAGACCCAGAAAGGCTTTTTTGTTATGTTAATATCTTCTGGGGAAGCCCCTTACAGGTGGGACCTGGTTACCAGTGGAATCAACCACTTAATTAAAGCATCAGAACTTTCAGCCTTACCTGGAGATCTGAAGAGGGTGTAGGAGCTGAAAGTTCAGTTCAATCACCAATGGCCGATGAGTTAATTAAACACATGTAAGTAATGAAAACTGCATAAAAACCTAAAAGGACTGGGTTTGGGGAGCTTTTCTCTTGGTTAATACCCTCATACATTGCCCTATGTAGTTCTTCCACCTGGCCACTCCTGAGTTTTATCCTTTTATAATAAACTGGTAATTTACTAGTAAAAATGTTTCTCACAGTTCTGAGTTCAGTGAGCTACTAAAAAATTACTCCGTGTCTAATAGCTGGTGGGTCAGAAAACATAGGTCGAATCTAGACTTGAGACTTACCTGAATTGAGGGGCAGGTCACTTCTGAGGGACAGAGCACTGTCCTGACATGTCACTCCTGATGAGGAAGGACTAGTATAATCATAATGACTCCTAGGGCCTACCTGGGGGTGCCGGGATTAAAGTGCTTGCTATCAAGCAACTGTCAGCCACTATCAAGCAACTGTCAGCAAGAGTGCCAAGGAGCTACCCGACATGGCACAGATCTCTCATCATGCCTCCTGTTCCCCTCAATGTATTTCAGTAGCTCTGCCTGTTCTGCCCCCCCCCCCGCCCCCTTGAATCCTCTCATCTGCCTACTCCCTCCACCTCTGGCCTAGACCCCAGTTCTTGTATGCATTAAATATATGTCATCTTTAAAAAAAGAGATGCCTACCTAGTCATAGGCAGCACAGGAGCGCTGCCAGTTTTAACTCTTTAAGAAAGCATTGTTGGGCTCCCTATTGGCACAAGGGGAAAAATCTCAGCACTATGCAGTCCACAGCCACTGAAGAATGAGTTCCATCTCCATCTCCGGCCAGGGAGCTGACCCACACAGCGTAGTAGACCTCTCCTGTCTAGCTCTAGGCTCTCCTCAGCAGTGTCATTCAGTAGATCTGCCTGTTCTGTTGGCCCCTGTCTTTGAATCTCTCATCTCCCACACATCTCTGGCCTACATCCCAGTTTGTGTATGCATAAGCAAATAAATCTTCACAAAAATGCATTTTGATTAAATTCAGTTTTTTGATCCTGTTGCAGTTCAATTATAACTGGCATTTTACATACTTAACAATTAGTTATATACAATTAAAGGCATTATAAAGCCATCTATCAGACCTCAAATTATTCTCAAACTGAACAGATTACAGTTAGAATTTGTAAGGCATGTAAAACCTTAAATTTCACATTTCTTTAAAGAAATAAAGACAATTATTTGATGTGCATAGAATTTATTTGGTACATCTAACAATTTCTACAATACAACTGACCATAAACAGTTTACCTGTATTCCATGTTTATAATGGTTAATAAATTCAGTATGGTATTTGGCAAAGCTAGAAAAGAGGAAGGTTTCACAGAACTGGTGAAAGCTTGTCATGAAATAAATTTAATACATTAGTACTTCTATTTTCTATCAGAAAACAGCAAGATTACATTACAGGTTAATTATTTACAGTGAAAACTTGGAAGACTTAAAAACCAGTGAGTTTATCAACAGATCTAGGAAGGCCCCTACCTGTCCTCTTTAAGGGTCCTTTCTTAGAAATGATTATTGTTATAAACCAAATTTCATATACTTTTAAGCACCAGCTTGACAACTTAGTTTTCTTTCAGTTTTATAAAATACTCCTGCTTTGAATGGCAGTCAATGTAAAAATGTGAATGTAATTAAAACCACTGGCCTAGATGCTTTTTTTTTTATTGCAACAGTCATAATGTTTTAACTATTCACTTCTTTGCCTGTAGGCTTGAAACAAAATATTTTGCCTTTGCCTTGAAAAATCCCCTAAAAAATTCATCATTTTTGGAACTGTACAACTGTATTATTCTTTCCTAGTGTTGAAATATGCAACTTGGTCCTTGGAGGTCATGTTACATAAAATCCAGCTTCTTGAATAATTTTGTTATACAAAACAATAAAAAACCTTAAACTACCACAAAATATTCCTGATGCTGATAGTCATGTAGGTATAAACACATCAGTATGCCCAGATTATCCTGCTGGCCAGTGCTGAAACTACTCATGTACAAATGGGCTTTAAAACTTAACAGATAAATATGTATTTGTTAACTAAAAGTGTAAGTTCTAAAAGACCCTTGAGTTCTTGTACTTGAGAAACACTAACACTATTAAGGCATTACTTAGTGAACAGACCTTATGGAAAGTAACTGTATTCCTGCATTTGAGAGCTAGTCATATTTTAAGGCAGCCAGAAGGTTCACTTTTCACTTTAAGGCTCTTGCATAAATTTTATTCTATGCAGGTATTATTCTGTGTAATTTAAAGTCACCAAGTGGTCAATTATGAAAATCAAAGCCTCTATATAAAACAAATGGACAGTTTAGAACTAGAGTATTACACATGCTTCCCCCAGCCATATTTTTGTTTAAAAGATATTTCATCAAGTCATCCTTTGGAGAATTGCAGTGTCAGAAGCTGGCCATATAAAGAAAATATAACTCAAATCTATCACAAAAGTTATGTCTCATCACACCATATCAAATTACATATAGTCCTTATCAGCATAACAGGGCAACAAAAACATTTTTCTTGGTTATTTTTCATTATTTGTGTAAGAATTAAAAATTTAATTTGCCATATATGGATTCTAAACCATTTACACTGCAAATAAAGGCAAACACAATAAGTAATTTAATGGAAGTTTCACTGTTGTAGTGATAAAATATTCTATTAAGTATATACAACAATGGTATACAAATAGCAAGGATTTCACCATTTACTACCTTAACAATCCAACTATACATTTAACCTGCAGGTTGTAGCTAACTTATTTCATTTTTTCAAGCAGATTCTGATAATTTCTAGATGTACAGAAATTTAAATATTTTAAAATGAAATATCACATTCATAAAATTGATATGCACTGCTGAATTAAATACAGGGTGGAGGAAAAATCTCTTCAGGGTTAGAAAAACTTTTATACACATTTTTATTTACAAAATTTATTTTCATTGAAAAAAATCACCTTAATTTCAGAGAATTTTGTAATATAATTGCTCTAGTTTTTTTTTGTTTCTACCAGTATCCAGTAGGTGGTATTATTCAGGATCTAGGAAAATGTGTAATTTTTAATACTTTTATTCAAACAGACCTAACTACATTACCTTTATACATGGAAAATATTACTATGGGATTAACTTCTTAATTTTTCAAAAAGCAGTAAAAAATTCACCAATTAAAAAAAAATCATTGACTGAATATGTTATTTACAAGGTCTTTTAGGTGACAAGCCATTTATATATAAGCTGAGTAAAGATTTTGAACAGTGGCTTTTGTAATTAAAAGAAAGAACAGAAACATTATGTTTTTGGAAAGTATATGCATTGACCTTTTACCAGGCATATCTCTAACTGCAAAGGTTGAAAAATGATACTTAAAGGTCCCCAAATTTCTGCAAACATCTAATATACAATGTAACTTGATTTTGGGAGAGAATATATCTACCCAATTATTGTTTCAATTAACTACCCACTTTAAGTTTGAAAAAATGAGATCTTAAATCTATATGGGGTAAAAAGCAACCTGCAAAACACACATTCCAAACCTAAGTGAGTGACTTTATTTATTAGCCAAACATAAGACTGGAAGAAGAGAAGGCAGTAATGTTAAGAGACACGGATTATAAGAAGAAAAATAAGATATAAAAGTAATCTTCTAATAAATGAGATTTCCCCTGGAGGTATAACAAATCACCCTAAAATTGTGTATACAAAACCAGAACTTTTTCACTTTTGGTTAACTACTTCTAAGTCATCACTTACCAAGATATTTGTACTTGTTGGTAAAATATCTTTAGGTAAAATACTGCCAAGTTCAACAAGAGATCACAAAGATTTAATTATTTTAATAAAGGTCTATTGTGCTTTTAAAGTTCCTCACTTAAATTGTCAGATGCCCAGATTTATCAGATATTCTGCTTAAATTTCCAAAATAACTTAGATTTTGCAAAATCTCAGAAAACAAGATATCTGATAAGGGTTATTTTTATCTTATTTTGTGTAGATTTACCTTTTATTTTAAAAAAGTAAGTAAATGTTAATATTATCTCATTTAGAGCATGCGTGTGTTTTCCAAGGGGAGCTAAGACTTGGGATATAGAGATTTCTTAGTTAATATTCACTTTCACTGTGAAAATTTTTCCACTCAAAAAAGTGGTTTTAAAAAACAAGCCTACTGAGTTATTTGTCCTAAAACATTGTGTCTTTTAAAATATATATCCTAATAGAATATTATTCATTTAAAAAGTTTAATTTGTATTGCAAGTCTTCCTCCCACTTTAGACTTTTACATTGATAGTAAATCACTGATTATTCTTTGATCAAATCATCAGATGTTTTTAATGGCAGCAAAACTGAATCACATATACTTAATGGATGTCTATAGCTATATGAAGTTACATAAAACAAGAGGTTCCAGAGGATTAACACTAAATTCCATTCACTAGTCTTCTTCAAAGCTAATATTCTCCCATATTAACAGTTAATAATGTAAGCAATGTTAATAGAATTTCCAAGAAAATTCAACTAGGGTGAGATATTAGTTTTTGTTTCACTAATTACAACTATATCATGAAGATATTTACATATTTTCTAGGAAATAGTTTATTTTTCTTAGAATTGTTTTAAAAAGCAACATTTCCTTATATATTAATGTAGAAGTAACCCAAAAGCAATTCAGAACATAAAACTTGTTTATTGTTTGAGTACATTTTATTAATGATGTGGTAAAATTTTTGTTTCACTTTTTTTATAGGATTACGTTGCATAGGAATACAGGTAATCAAAAGATTGTGCTTAAGGATTACTATGAAATACAAAATCATACAATGTTCACAATTTGTTGTTCTACTTCTAAAGCAATCATGTATATACATTATTTCCTACTATTTTAAAAAGATAAAAAGTCTTGAATAACTTTCTTTTATTCCCTATTCTTATGAGTTTATGTTTTTCCATTTAATGGGGAAATGAATAATGGAGATGAATATTGGAAGAAATAAAGATTTCTAGGTCTAGTGGTTAAAGCCACAGTCTAAAGGACCTCAGGTTCGTTACAAAATTAAAAATTAGCTTTAAGTTTTCTGAGCTGTTTTCCAGTTCTAAAATTCCATGATTTAAAAAATAAAATTACCGTCTGTGGTAGATCTTATTTTCCTCTGTTAAATCTTATATTAGTTCACTTAATTGCACTTACTTAAAGGTCACATCTAATCTTATTTCTTTGATAAATTTAATATTAGCTGGTAAGTAAATCTGTCTGAAAGCTCTGTACAACAGTTCACAACTGAAGGACATAAAATTTTACACTCTATTCCATTTACAGTTTCTACTAGAATACTAAGATTATAATTTTTAATTTAATATGATCTTGGGTTCACTTAAGGAATTTAAGAGCAATTATGTATTTCTACTAGGTCCTTTTAGCTTAAATTTAATTAGCACATAATATTTTCATGTATCAAAAGTAGCTAATATGTTAAATCCAATGCTTGTCACTGTTAAAGAATGGCATCAGAAGTGAAGTGTTTTTTTGTTTTTTTTTTTTGAGGTGGGGTATGCTAGTAGCTTTTCTGACTAAAAATTTCTTAGGAAAATCATATTTACAAACTGCTAATAATTGCCATTCAGGAACAGCTACATATCAGAGTTAGCTTTAATATGTCAAATAAGCTTAAGGAACATTTCTTATCACTCCTAGAGCCCAAAATGCCCATAAAAAGATTAGAAAATACCTACTAAATTCTAACAATACTAAAGATTCCCTTGTTTCCCAAATTGAAAACCTCTAACCCCCAAACATGTAAAAGGCTGTAATTTATTAATTTCACTTTCCTTGTAACTGTAAGAAGGGCTTTATAAATCCCCAGTAAATCCTTAATATTTAAATAGTAATAAAAATTGCAATTTAGTGTTATCTTAGACAACCGTAATGTTATCATGAGCAAAGACAGTCATTTCAATAGGTTAAACTCCCCACAAAGATGGGATACATAAAAAAAATAATGTACCTTAGAAAAATGAAAAGGAAGTTTAATATACACAAACAGAACAATTAATTTCTTACATATGGTTAATGGTAATGTGCTACTCAAAAGTTGCCTTTCAAATATGAAAGGCAGAGTTTGTTTTATTATTTTCTACACTATCAAAAAAAGGAATGTTTTGTCACAAAATGAATAATGGACAAAGAGATAAGAGGCCATGTTTACAAGTAGAAAATATCTAAAATTCATTGATGACTGGCTAAAAAAGTTAAAATTAGAACAATTATTTTAATGTAATAAAAAAGGTCATTTGGCTATAGTTGCAATTTTGTCATGTTTTTAGCATATGAGTGGGGGCTTTAAGTGCTTGAAGACTGTTATTTTCATTTGAAGAATATGAAAAAAATTTGTGACTGCACGTGGCTAAACTGTTATAGTTCAGAGAAAACTGTCATGCCCTTCAAACGCTGCAATAAAATACACCAAAACAAACAAAAAAGCCAACCAAATAGACTTCCTCAGAAGCCACACACCTTAGCCCTTTCTCAGCGGTAACCATGTTTCTGGTTAGTAGTAATAATTCTACAAGTTTAAGTGAAATATCTGAAACAAAACTGTTTCTAAGAAACTCAGAAAGCTACTTCTGCAGTCTTCAAAAACTTTTTAAAAGAAATCTTTTAAACTCATTTATAAGTTAATGTCTTTTTTTCTAACCCCCTTGGTAAAAAACTTTACAGATAAATTTCATATTCCATCACAGTTACATGGTCCAGTGCATTTCAGAATATTTGGACATTATCAAAGCTGTCCTTTCCCAATGAAAACATTTAAGAAAACATTAAGCGCTTCTTAAAGCAAGTGACATGATATGGAGCTACTTACACTTTTAGCTCTTCTTTTAAGTACAAGTGATTATTCATCAAAGCAAAACTGACAATTTTTTCATTATCTATCAACAAGTTCTCTATTCAATAGAGAAAGCTACATACAGTGTATTTGATGCTATTTCCCAAGAACTGGCGTTGTAGATAGAAAAACTTTGGGTTCATCTCATTTTTCTTTCTTTTTTTGGTAAAGTAAATTTTTTTGTTATGAACATACCACCATCTTATCTTCTTTCATTGGATTAAGATTAGCTGGGAAGTAGCTGTGTATTTCTAACAAGATCACTGATGTCAGTGGACCTGACCTCTTAGATCATGGTGGTGCTTAGTTAAATCACATCCAATGTGAAATTTCGAATTACATCCAGAGCTCCGGTATCAAAGCCACACATATCCAGCATGCCCCTATCATCTGGATCTGCAATGGTAAAACCATTGGAGGTCATTCCACAAACAATCAACTTAGATGGAATAGCCATTTTCTGTAGGAAAAGAGAAAAACACATCAAGAAATTATGCTGTATGTAAAAGCAAATAACACCCAAAATCAAAATATTACTAATTCTATAACAGCTTTTGGTTAGTGTCAGATATTTTTCTCTCTACAAAATCTGCCAATCTTTCAGAGCCAGACCATGTGATCTTCAGACAAGAAAACAAGTTCATGTAAACAACCTATCTGAAATATAAGGGCATATTTGTCTAGGATTATCAGTTTTTGGTCGGACTCTGTTGTGTATAAATTCCTGTATCAGGTTGATCTTGACTTTGCAGGTCACACGTAAGAATTTCTTTCTACAGCTATGATTTAAAGGTAAATGACTGAGTGGACATTATGTCAGATACCACAATGATTAAATAATGTTTCATATAACAACCCTAAAAAGTATTTAGTACCATTAATTACTATGTTATAAAGAAGTGGCTTACTACTATGACATAAAGCTAAATCAAAGGTCATGGACAAGAACATAAAAGTATCCATAATTCCCAAGACAAAGGCTGCAGCTTTAATTTTATGTAGTCTTTTACCAAAACCCAGAAATGATACTTTACTATTTCAAGGAATACACAGAATCATTAGAACATTCATAGTTAAGGTAAAATAAATTATTATTATTACTTTAAAAAAAAGATTTATTTACTTATGCATACAAGAACTAGGGTCTCGGCCAGAATTGTGGGGAGGGGGTGAGAGGATTTACCAGAGACACAGTGGTGAGCAGAAGAGGTGGATCTACTGAAATATACTGCTGAGGGGAGCAGCGGGAGAGACAGGAGAGAGGTCTGCTGTGCCTTGTGGGTCAGCTACCTGGCCAAGGATCGAACTTATGCCACAGTGGCTGGCGACAGCTTGATAGTGCTGCAACTGTAACCATTGAGCCACCAGGGAGGCCTCTAAAATAAATTATTTTGATTAATACCAAAAATAATGCTTGTAAAGGATATTCTCAGTAACATACAGAATTAGAACTGGTTGAAAAAATTACATAAGTATAACATAAAAAGCCAATACTTGTTCACTTCAAGTGCTACTGAGTCCAGAATTAGCAGTGTATTCCTCCTACCAATAGTACAGACCTATTTTCAGTAACATTCTTGAAAAATATGTTTGAGAATCAAGTCTTACTTGGGGTGACAAAGAATATTAGAATTTGTTTTACCCTTCGATACTCCCTCAGAGCCACGGCAGGGTGGATGCGGCCAGCAAAGGTCTCATTATCAGTGAACACAATGAAGACGTCAGCAGCTGTGTGAGTCTTCTCAGCCCATATCATTGGAAGCGCACAGTCAGTGCCCCCTGCTGGGATCTACACAGAATAAAAACATGAATTAAAAATAAATTGTCCAGTTTCCACACAGAGATGTCTGAAATCATGAAATACTAAAAAGAAAAAAAGAGGGAAAACCTACCTTTTACATTATCATTTTTCCTTAGAGCCAATCACTTTTTCTCATATATTCACTAACACCATGTACAACACAGTACAAAATTATTATACATATTAAGTAAATGTAATAAAACAGTTTCTTACCTGATTCATAGACATTAAAACCTGTTGTAAGGTCATATCTATAGTCACTGGACATGGTACCATTTCATCTGAAAAAGCAACTATGTATGAATCTTTTTCTGTTCGTGTGACAATCTGAAAAATTCAATGGTAGTGACTGTCAGCAGATCTGTGGGGATTCGGCTATAGTTCATAAAACACACTATGATGAACATCTTGCTTCTAAATAATGTTACTGGCTTGGAAACACAATGGAAGTGCCATAGCTTTTAAAGTAATTTCATAAACGCTTAGAACTGGTTTTCATATCAATCCTTTGAGGCAAGTAAATGCAACAGTAACCCCTTAACCATAGAAGACAAGTTACAAGACTCCCAGAAGATGCCTGAAATTATGGGTAGGACCAAATCCTATAGATAATGCATTTTTTCCTACATATACATACTCATGATATAGTTTCTAAGTTAGGTGTAGTAAGAGATTAACAACAATAACTAGCAAGAAAACAGAATTATAACACTATGATGATCAGGTGAAAGTGGTCTCAATCTCTCAGATATCTTATTCCATTTAAAATTTTGGATCACAGTTGACAATGATAAACAAACTGAAGAAAAGGGAGGACTGCTACATATATATTCTTCTTCTCATTGTATTAAGGACTAAAGAAGAGACGAAACTTGCTATACAGTGACATCCTAGTCTGACTCTTTTGTCTTTTACTATTGGGTCTCTAACATTTATCTTCCAAATTTATCGGTTTCTCTAAGCATTACTATCTTTTTCAAAAACAGGGTTAATAATTTAATCTTTGGTTACAAAAATGAAAAATTTCTATTATGACTATTTAGAACATGCTCTTTCAATATACTTATTCTTTATACCTAAGTATGTTTATTACATACACATAGAAAATGTGCCCAAAAAACAGACATGATACAAAAAATTAGAAATGTAAATCTAAATCAAAATTCATGTTACAGCTTTATCCCACAGTAAATCTGCTTTATTTATTGGCTAAAATTCTGCATTGTCTTAAGTGTTCTCACCATGCACATTGCTGCAGCAACTGTACTGGCACTGAGCACACTACCCAAAACTCTTTGGCTCATAGAAGCACTAACATCAACAGCCAGCAAGAAACGTTTTCCAGTTGGCTCAATAGTCTAAAGAGAAAACAGAATAAAACAACTGTTGAAAACAATCATAGTAATTAGAAAGTTTTAATTTCTAATAAACTGTATTTACTTATCTTTCATCCAAAAGACAAAGAAAATCTTCTATTTTTGGAATCACAATTAGCTGACAGTTGTTTAAAATTCTTATGAACATCCAAAAGCCCAGTAGTTTCGATTTGGTGATTAATGATGTTCAGAACCTTTTCATGTGTTTGTTGGCTAACTGTGTATCTTCCTGAAAGATCTCTTCAAGCACTGTGTCCATTTTTTAATTTGGTTGTTAGTATTATTGCTACTCATTTGTAGTTTTTAAAATCTTTGCAGACTTACAAAATTTTCTCCCACTCTGTAGATTGTGTCTTAACCCTTTTGGTAGTGTACGTTGATGCATGTTAGTTTAAAATCTTCATCAATTATCTTTTTCTTTTGTTGCCTTTGCTTCTTGTGTTAATCTAAGAATCTATAGCCATATCTAGGTTTTAGCCCTTAAATAAAGGTAGTTGATCCATTTTGAGCTCATTTTTATATATGGTGTAAAGTAATGGTCTAACTTCATTCTTTTCTTTTTTAAAGATTCATTTATTTATGCATACAGAACTGGAGTATAAGCCAGAGGTGAAGGAGCAGTGAGAGGATTCAGCAGAGACAAGGTGGGAAGCAGAACAGGCAGACCGACAAAGTACACCTCTGAGGGGAGCAGCAGTTGAGACAAGAGAGTCTGCCATGACATGTGGGTCACCTCCATGACCAGGTATCGAACTTGTTTTGCAGCTAGCTTTGTTGTGCTTGAGCCCCAGGGAGGGTCCCTAACTTAATTCTTTTGCATGTGTATATACTTGTCTCACTACTAACTTTAGGGGAAAGGATTTCAATCTTTCATCATTTGAGTATGAGACAGCCATAGATTTTTAATAAATGACCTTATCATAATAAGGAACCTCATTTCTGTTCCTACTGTATTAAGTGTACTTTTTTTAAACATGAAAAAATACTGAAGTTTTATAAATGCATTTTTCTGCAGTCAATTGAAATGATCATTTTGTTTTGTCTTTTCACCCTATCAATGTAATATATTACAATGATTGATTTTCACCTTGAACCATGCTTGATAATAAATCTCACCTGTATAATCCTTTTGACGTGCTGCTTGATTTGGCTGCTAGTGTTTTGCAGAGTAGCATGAAAACTTTAAAACCAAACATTTTAACTTACAGCTCTGAAGTAGGATTTTCATTAAAAACAAAAACCAAAAAATTTCCTATCAAGACAGATGAGAGCTACAATAGCACATATTAACAAGACAGAAGACCAAGTCAGAGGACTTCATGAGAATGCAAAACCTTTAATTTGGCAATTTAAAACAAGCATCAAAAATGTTTAAACTATTAATATTGCCTTTAAAATGTGTTTTCACCAAAGACATTAAGTCCTTAGTTGGACATATTTTTTTTTTTTTGGACATATTTTTAAAAACAAAAATCAAACCACTACCTTAAAAGTTTTGTAAAAAGCAGCATCCAACGCTTTGACGATTTCTTCATCAGGGTGCCACTTCAGTTTTCCTCTGAGCCCATGACCTGATTTATAAGTTTCTAATGCAATTAAAACATGAAATGGATGTATACGAGCCTAGAAACAAGATAAAGATACAGTGTAATTGTATAAGTCAAATAAAAATGTTAACTGGGTTTCTTTCTTGAATTTTTATCATAAAAATTAGAACATATTGATCTATAAAATGAAATCAAAACACCTAAAATTTTCAGATTGCTTTTCAAAAATTAAGTCAACTTTTTAAATTGCTAACAGCTAACAAAGATAATGTTTACCTTTTTCAACAGTTTTTCATTACATAACTTTTCACATACTAGTGATACTTCGGAATTTCCTGGTTCAAGCACCGAATTGGCAGTCATTTTTCCTAGATTCCTTAATAATGCAGTAAGAGGCATTTCTTGTAACAAAGCCTTCCACACCTATTGTAGTAACAGAAATATAAGGAAATAAAATGAAATGAATCACTGTACCATTAGTATTATTTACACAGAAGAAGTGGAGTGAACCCCAGAGATGCTGGGGGTGGTGAGAGGATTCATTAGAGATAGAATGGGGAACAAACAAGCAGAGTTACTGACATACACTACTAAAGGGAGTAGGGACAAGACAGGAGAGGTCTGTTGCCAACATATGGGTTAGCTCCCTGGCCAGGGATTGAACTCAGGCAATCAGGGTGATAGTTCTGAGACAAACTCTAGGCCACCAGGGAGTCCCCTGTAACATAATTATATCAAGAATAGTAATACTATATTTTCTAAGGTTCTCAATGGGATTCAGAGAACATACTAAATCAAAATTTTTATGAGCTGGTCAAAGATTTGACAAAAAAATTAACACGCTCTTTATTATAGTAAGAAATTAAGTCTATTTAATGAACAAATTACTTAGAAAATTTTTATTGGTTAACAGTGCAAAATAACCAGTACATTTTCTGGGGTGGGACCAACATTTATTGAGTGCCAGCTACATATATTATGTATTAGGCATTAAAAATAAACATTACAAGATAGCATATTCTAATTTTTACTTACCTCTTTAGACTTTAAGTGATTTGTTAGAAGATGTTCCCTAACTAATCTATGTTCTTCTATTAGATGAATGACTTCCAGGTCATCTTTTGTGCGCTTCACTTTCTCTACAGCTTCCAAATATTTTAATAATTTTTCAGCCTCCACAGAAAGTGCTTTTTCTTTATATAATTCATGGACCTCTTTCCAGCCCTTTGTAATATATTTGGTCACAATAGCAAGTCCTTTAACAAATAAGAAATTGAAAAGGTATGTAGGGTTACCAAGTAAAAATTTAGAGCATGTTTACTGAGAATGCATCGTGTAACAAACATACACACAAGAGTTAACTCACATTTAAACAACTAATTTTACTTATTCTTTCAGAACTGCCTCACTGATTTATTTATGCATATAAGAACTGGGGTACAGGCCAGAGGTGTGAGGGACAAGAGGTTTCACCAGAGACAGAGCAGGTAACAAAGCAGGCAGACTGACTGAAATACACTGCTGGGGGGAACAGCAAGTGAGACAAGAGATGTCTGCTGTGCCTGTGGGTCAGCTCCCTGTTTGGGGATCAAAATTACGATGCAGTGGCTGCAGATAGCTTCATAGTGCTGTCTTTAACCCCTGTGGCACCAGGGAGGGCCCACTGTTTAATTTTGAAAAGAAAACTCATATATCCTAACTCATTCACTACAGAGCTTTTTGTGTATTTATGCGAGAAACCTACATAGAAACTTTCACCCTCAGGTTTACATTCCTAGAACAAGTTACAAGAGTCCAAATCTATCTCAATCTCATGTTCACTTGTTCCTTTAAGCTGCTGAATAAAAATACATTTATAAATAGCAGAGATAAGAGGAAGTGAATAGGTATTAAATTTTTTTTTTTTAAGTTGAAAAATCATAACAGGCCAAATTAAAAAAAGAAAAAGTAAGAAATGTGTTCATCTCCTTTATAACTTTGGATTAGGGCTGCTTAAAAAATTTGAGTTGCAGCCTGTCAATAAACTGCTGTGATCATTTTAGGCCTTAGTTTCTACTTCTGTAGAAGGGGTAGGATTAAATTATTAAATTTAAAGGTCTATAAGGAAAGCTATTTAAAATAAATTAATCAGGCTATGATGATATGAGGGTCAAGACTGTGGTGAACTAAAGAGAGCATGCCTCGACAGATGTCTTAGTGAATACTGACTTAGAGATTCCAAAAAAGTCTATCTTCAAGAAAAGCCAGAATATGGATTTTCATGTGCTGTTTTCTGATTTTGCTGAATATTGGCAAAGCATTTCTTCCTAAAATACTGTGCAAGCCAAATAAACTACATCTCTAAGGCAAACAAAGCATATCTATTTCTAAATGCTAACATTTTTTGAGCAAAAGTTAATATTAATATGCAAAAATTTTTGAGAATCAGCTAATTTCTAGTACAAACTCTGACACTGTATTAAATGACTAAATATTTGACATGATCATGTCTTCTTTATCTTACTAATCAAAACAAAACTTCCTTAAAGGCAGTCTTTTATTATTTTCATTCTGCCTAAGCTCCAGAACTGTTTAGGCCACATTGTAGAAGCACAAATAAATATTTGATTAACTGAATTTGAATACTGACTTGTTCTGTTTTAAATATTCATTTCATCAAGGTATTAAAATATTACTTTTTCCAGTAGCTTACATAGTCTGTTTTCAAATTCATTTTACTCTGAGATGTCTAGGAATGTTTTTTTTTTTAAAGATTTATTTATTTGTGCATTAAAGAGCTGGGGTGCAGCCAGAGTTGTGGGATGTGGACGAGGGTGAGAGGATTCACCAGATATAAGAGTAGGGAGCAGAAATGGGCAGATCTACTGAAATATACTTTGAGGGGAACAACAAGGGAGACAAGAAAGATCTACTACTGTGGAGAGCTTCATAGTGCTGTGCTAAAACACTTGTGCCACCAGGGAGCTCCAGTCTAGGAGTCCTTCATGTGTAAACAGAATACTGTTATGATTATAATATCCTCAAAATGTTAGAATCTGAGATATGGGAATTAACTTAAGAAATATCTACTCATCTCTTATTAATTAGATGGAAGCACAGGTTATTAGCAAAAATTCAGAAACTATTATGTTGAATTAGAACTAGCACTTTAGAGTTTTTCCTTGTGGTCTAGTACTTGCCCCTCATCTTAGTGGTTGCTTTTTACAATTTCATACTGACATAAAAAATATGTGGATATGTGGATGTTTGTTGAAATTTATACTTGAAATTATTCCTGCCCAAAGTTTTTCTGATTTCCCTTCTAAGATTTATGTAATTACTATGAATTCAACTAACTTCTCAAGATTCTCTTCCCATAGACATAAGAAAAACTGTCCCAAGTTACCACGTCCCCTGGCTGACTGGTTGGAGACAATTAACATCCTGAATTGTTAAGTTCAGCACTATCTCAGGAAGCCTTTAGGTTCCATGCAACATATGTCCTAGGAAGACAGGGAGGGAAAAAAAATGGTAAGGGGCAGAGCAGTACAGCCTGGCTATTAGTCATCTACTGGCAAGGGGCTGTTTCATTTACAACCTGAATCATGCCCATGCTGATTACATAGCCCATAATCACTTGGGTGCACATGCTGGGTAGCATGGTGACATATATTTAAGATTTGGAATATTAGTCTGTAAATCTGTGATTTGATTATCAATTATTAATTATTAATGTCTGGAGAGCTGGTGGGAGATGTTTAATTCCAGGTTGGCATTACACATATTTGAATTAACTGTGTGTTTTGAGAACAAAAGGCTATTTCTAGAAAATATATAATTACATTATGTCAAATAAAATTTGCTGCTTATTAGAGATCTTTACCCTCAACCCAACCCCATGAAGATCTTATGCTTACCTTCACTGGAAGGTTTTAGATGTGACAATCTTAATAAATCTTTGTGAGACCAGCCATTTCTCTGTTTGTATTTTGTAACTGCCAGAGCAAGGGCCATCCCACCTTTTTCATTGTACCAGTCTGCTATCGCCTTTCGGAGGGCTCGACCCCACATGCCACACTTCATGCTTTCCTTCAGATCTTTCTTAAACTGGATGAAAGTAAACAGATGTGTAGGAATGCGGCAAACTTCAGAGACAGCTTTAAATGCAGCCTGTTTTGTGCTTATGTCAGAACACTGGGAACAAATGGCCAGTGCAAAGAGCATAGGCTCCTGCTTTGCGGTTCTACCTTCTTGACTAAATGACTTTATTTCTTGTATTACTTCACATCCTCTGCCATCTTCAATCAATCTAATTAAAGCTTCAGCATTTTCAAGGCCCAATTTCTGTTCTTTGATATAGTAGGTTCCACTTTCAGAACCAAAACATAAGAACCGATGGAGTCGATTCATATCAGTGACTTGCCACACACAGCCATCTTCAGAATTGGCAATCTGCTTCTCATTCAGTGGTTGCATTTGGTTTACTGATTCTTCCATTTTTCTGTCTTTGAGGAGACCTATCAAAAAAAAAAAAAAGCAGAATGTTATTACAACTACACAGAAACAGTAAAATTATAAAAAGACAAGTAATATTTCTTGATCTATTTGTTGAAATCTGCTATTGTAGTCTTTAACACTATTTCTTAAACTTAGTGATGTACAATAATCAGAAGTAAAAACTAGTAAGTCAACCCTCCCTGGCGGCACAGCGGGTTAAAGTGCAGCACGGAGAAGCTAAAGCCACTTCACTATGAGTTCGATCCCCGCCCCAGAGGTGACCCACATGGGTGGCAGACCTCTCCTGACCCGCCCACTGCTCTCCTCAGCAGTGTGCTTCGTTGATCTGTCTGTTCTGCTTCCCACTGTCTCTGGTGAATCCTCTCATAGCCCCTGCACCTCTGGCCTGTACCCCAGTTCTGTATGCACAAATAAATAAATAAATCTTAAAACAACAACAACAACAAAAACCTAGTAAGTCATATTTTTAAGACTGCATTTGTTGCTGTAGCAACTAAGTAGGCATGCTAGCATAAGGCTCCTGAGGCCTAGAGAAAAGAATCAATGGGGCAGAGAAGGCGCCACTAGTGGCTGACACTAAGAAAAATCTATTCCTGAATAGGTTGAGTATTCAACATCCATTTTTTTCCATTCCCTCCTCCTCTCCTCTCCTTTCTCAAGCAGTCAAGTTTTTCACAGAAGGCTACGTAAAGCTCCGAAGAATAAATTTTGATTGCTCTAAACCTGTGGTTCTCAAACTGTATCAGAATTACCCCAAGTGATAGTTAAAACATACAATGTTGGGTTCTAGCTAACACTTCCACAAGTTTCTTTCTTAATCTTCATGTCTAGGGTGAGGAACAAGCATTTGTATGTATCACAAGTTATCATCATTCTTCTTGCCACATGACTGGTATAGACAGGCCCTGGGCATGTCACAGCTCCAGCCAGTATGAAATGGTAGTAAGTCCAAGTAAGAAAGTGGTTGGGAGCTGGAGGAAAATCTTTTTATGTTTTAAGGCAGGACACTAGGTTGAAGTTGAGAGACTGATTTTGGAGAGTGAACACAGTATAGAAAGGGGTAACAAAAGGAATGAGATTCCTGAAAGAAAGGGGACTGAATGAGTTTTAGGGCATTCAAAACTGACTCACTGACAGCAAAAGACAAAACTCCTACACTAAGTGTTATGGGTAAAGACTGGTTTGAGGAAAGAGAGGATAGGGAACCAAGGGAGCTCCCTACATGGGGAGGGGTGGAAGGTAAGGGAGCAATAAAAGACTGGACCTCAAAAGGGAATAATTATGCAGGAGTGGGGTTAAGCCCTGGGGAGAATGGAGAACCTCACATTTCTACGACCATTTGAATTGTGTTGGAAATGTCAATGCTCCACATACAGTGGGGTGTAACTCAGCTCATGTCAGTGCAGTAAGTCAGAGATAAGTGACCCAACCATATAACACCCTGGGAACATTAGTTACTGACTGTGGCACAGGCGGAAACGCTGAGTACAGGGGCGCTGCTGCTTCTACTTAGCCTTGACCCTTTTCAATACGGCCATCACCTCTGCCTAGCAATTCAAAAAACTTTGTAAGACTAACAGGTTTCTCAAAGATCAATACCTTAATTGCTAAGGTAGAAAATTTTATATTATTTTCATCTTTATACTGCATTTGACATTGTTTCTCCTTTAGGTTTTACAAAAATACTCTTTTGCGGTACTTCAACCTGGCTATTTCTATTGTTTGTTAGCTCAATAATACTGAAATGACATTTAATATTAAGACTGTTCCACTATACTAGCTGTCTTGCACCAAGGTCCCAGTGGTGACATTCAAAGGTTCCCCTCCAGAGGAGACTCCCAGGGGAGGGGGGCAAGTGGGGAGATGGATAAGCATGGTTTACATTGTTAATTGCCCACATTGAGACTTTTTCTAAAACTGGTATTTTAAAGGAAGGAAACACAACTCTAATCCTACTTAGTTATGCTTAAATTTGTATTACCAATTACTTAAAAGTAGTGTTCTAAGAGGAGGAATATACAGTAAGAACTGTTCCTTGCTCTTCAGGAGTCAATAAAATAGTTAGACGTGCTCACAAAAAACAATACAAAGGGGCCCTCCCTGGTGGCGCAGTGGGTTAAAGCACTGCACTGAGAAACTAAAGCCAATTCCGCATGAGTTCGATCCCCGCCCACCCCGGAGGTGACCACATGGCGAGGCAGACCTCTCCTGACCCGCCCGCTGCTCCCCTCAGCAGTGTACTTCGGCCATCTGCCTGTTCTGTGCCCCACTCTGTCTCTGGTGAATCCTCTCACCCTCCGCATCTCTGGCCTGTACCCCAGTTTTGTATGAATAAATAAATAAATCTTTAAAAAAAAAATACAAAGGAAAGAATTTGGGGATTTTGAGGTTTGGAATAAGGCCTTCACCCCCCTATATGTGTACATGTAAATTATCCCTTGAAAATAAATCCTGTAATTAGAAGAATAAGTATACTTTATGCAGGTAATGTATATAAAACAAAGAAAAATGAAACAGAGAAAGTAATGAGTTGAATTCACATGTCATTTGAGAACGGTATTTCTAAGTTTTTTTGATATATTTAATAGGAGGTATTCAAATATCTTTTGTAGAACAAGCAGCTAAATGAACTTTTAAATTTAGGGTGACTTAAATCTAGGTGCCGAAAAGAAACCCTGCATGCAATCCTTGTAATTCCTACTATAAGAAATGAAATGAGTTGTTCATACCTGTATCAATGAAGTCTTCACTTTGCACACTATATTAATGATAATTGTTAAGTACATTTACCCTTTCAATATTTCTGCAGGAATGATTGCATAGCTTTTTGTATGCATCTCCAACCATAATTTCCAGGGTGAAACAGAAGAGTGGAATTAATCACATCTACTACCTCTCTTCTTGCTTGTGTAAATTTTAAAGTGAAATATGAAAAACAGAATGCTTTTGAAATAAATGTTACAAAAATCAAAATGTAGTGTGTTCCAAGTTCTCAGAATGGTGGTGATTCTCATGTCACTGTGTGCTGACCTACAAATTATCTTTAAAATTGCTTAGGTTATAAATACATGCATTTAAAAAAAGAAAGAAAAGAGTTATCTGACCTTTGTTCAGGCTCTCTGGAGAGCTTCAAAAACTCTTAGAATTTCCAGAGTAAGATCCTGTGGTATACCAATGAGGTGACTCATTGGGGCCTTAGGATTAAGGCTGGTCACCAGTAATACCAATAATCTGATTAGAGGGCTGGAACTTAGGGCCTCTCAGGATGGGAGAAGTACCCTGAGCTCAACCACAGGGTCAGTGATTTAATCAACCAACCCTAGTAATGAGCCCACACATCAAAGTTCCAGTGTAGCTTCCTGCTTGGTAAACACTCATGTGTGAGGAGGATGAAGTGTTAGGATTCCGCATGGGATTCCCTTCCCTGACCCAGACCCTGGCATACATTTGTCTTTCATCTGATTTCTCATGGATTATATCCCTTATAATAAACGTGTAATACTAAGTAGTGTGCTTTTTAATGAATATGTGAGTTGTAGCAAATCATTGAAGATTGAGAGACCTGAATTTATAGTTGGGGGCCAGAAGTGTGGATAGATTAGACCCCACTTGTAGCCTGTGTGTGAAGTAAGGGGGTGGGCTTTGCTTTTTAATTTGTATGATCCAATGCTAACTCAGGAACTGAACTGAGTTGAACTGTAGGACATAATGACAAAGAATTTATATCAATTCTATATGAAGAACTCAAAAATCAATAATAAAATCATAAATAATTCATAATGCCAATTAAATGGTAAATGAAAAATAATGCCAATTGAAAATAGGCAAAGAATCAGAAAATGATACACAGATGGTCAGTGAACACATAAAAAAAAAAATTGCTCCACACCATTAATCATCAGGAAATGCAACTCAAAACTGCAGTGAGATACCACTTCACAATTACTAGGATCCCTATAATAAAAATGACTACAATATCAGTACTGGTGCGGATTTGGAGAATTCAGAACCCTCACACCTTCCAGGCTATATTCAACCCTTTAAGGAACTTTGGAATGTTCTCCAAAATGATAAGTTGTTTTCTTTTTGTGATGATGAAATGTTCTGAAATTAGAGGATAGTTTTATGATTCTGAATCAAAAAACAAAACAAACAACTGATTTCCAGCAATCCACAGTATGGATCAACAGCACTTCTTCTGATTTATATTCATTAGAACTGGAATAGTCAGAAAAACTTTTACAGTACTAATAACATACTATTTTTGAGGATTCTATTTTTCTTCCATATATGCACCTGAATAGTCCTCTGAAGTCTTTTGATGATTTGTTAGCTGAAGGATATTACCTTTCATTCCAAGAGGTGAAACAAATCTGCAATGCCTTTTCCAACTCAAAGCTAATATAGCTATGAAAGAGTACAGGGCATTTTAAAAGAAACAACAGCACAAAAAACTCGGGCCAGGAATTCCAGTAAGTATCATTTAGACTGGCAACAGACATGTAATACAAAATGGTGAGCAACTGTGCAAACATGAGACAACATGCCTTCCCGAAGGTGTGCATCCTCGGCCAACTGGCTGCCATGTTGTATGCGTCTAGTGTGCCAGACCTCATTTTTCCAAAGAATGGGAAATTTGGATTTTTATGTGAACTCTTAGGGCTAAAGGCTAACAATATAATAATAATAATAATAACTCCCCTTTCCGATTATTTCTAGGATGCGTCAAAGGCTAAAATTTCCACGACACGCATCAAGTTGGGAATCACTTGTTAAGTTTCATCTTTTGATTCTTTAGGGAAAACAGTATCAAGTTCACAGCAATATGACAGACTTTTAAAACAACCACAAATTACTGCAAACATCTTTGGATTGTGGGGACACTATTTCCAGTATGGCTCATACTAAAGACCTCTGAGCCTCAAAAATCGTTGGTTTCAGAATACTTAACAGCAAGATACTGAACAGAATGTCCTTAGTTTGACGGCAGAAACTCGCAGCGAAAACTTAAAAAAGAAGTTTCAATTTTGTTTTAAATTAAAAACTGAATACAAAGTGCAGCATCTACTCCAAAATACGGCCAGGCTTATTTTAAGATAAAAGCTTTCCTATTGTTTTTGCTCAGTAAAAACGATGCTTACTTTGTGGTTTCACAGAGTTTGTAACACAATGCCTCCTAACTTCAGGGCAGCGGCCACCAGTTTGAAAAGCAAGGAATTCGAGTTTTATCCACCAAAGCATTTTTTCCCCTGAAAGCCACAGGCCCTTGGAACTTGCAGCTGCATAAACATATCCTTAAAAAGACTTCCATCGTTAACACTAGTGTTCTTTAAGAACCAGCTGAATGAGGATCATTTCGTGATTCAGTGAAAATAGCCATGTTCCGTTTAACTCATTTAGCCTTGGAAGCATCTTAGATTAATACATTACGTAATTTCAATCCCGTTTTCCTTTGAGGCACCGCATTTTCTTACTCGCGGCTGGACTCCGCGGAAGACCGCACAGACCTTTCTCCGGGTCCCTCGTCCTTCCCTCCAGCACAAATTCGCCGGCCTCCTTCCCCACAAAGATCCTTCTTCCCAAAACCAAGATCCGGGGCAACGCCTCTCGTCGCAGAGCGGCGGGAGGAGGAGGAGGAAGAGGAGGAGTAAAGCGGGCCCTCTGGATGCCGGTCCGTGCGGAGCGGTGCAGAGCACCAGCCGCGGCGTTTTGCTTTGGGAAGGGCCCACCTTCGGGACTTCGGGACCGGGCAAGGCTGGTCCTGCAGCTCCGCCGGTTCCGCTAGCCGGGCCGGACCTGGGCGGAAGCAGGGGCGGGAATACGATGGTTTGCTTCGACCGCTGCTGCCTGGACTCGAGAGGGACAGGGAGGACGCCTAAGACCGCACAAAGGACCCCAGCCGCCCGCCCGCCGTGCCCTCACCTGTGCACGGCGGCCGGCCCTCCGACGCCGCGGCGTTCCAGGAAGAAGCCCTGCGTTGTGGGAAAGATGCAGAGGAAGCGGCCAGACCCGCAGGGAAGATGCCACTCCAGCACCGACGCCGCCCGGGCCTCCAGGTTCGGTTCCCGGGAGCGAGTCCCGCCCCCGGGCCCGCCCCCGACCCCGCCCCTTCTCTGCGGGCGAGGATCCCGGATGTTACCTCCTCCGGCGCGCGGAATCCCGCCCCTTGGTCTCCGCCCGGTCTTCCTAATCCGCTACGGGTCCTGCACGGCCTAGGAAGAGTTTCGACGTCTCTGGGGTGGCTAGAGCGTCCTCCCGCGCTCTGTCGCGCTGCAGGTGACGGCGCCCGGAGGCTGTCGGGAAGTAGGCGGGGTGACGTAGGGAAGACGAGCTCGGCGGCGGGTTTGCCGAGATCCCTGGCCGGTGGCTGCTGGTGCTGGGGGCGGCCACAGCGAGAGGTGGAGCGGGGCGGTGTGTGGCCGGGGCCATGACGGGCAATGCCGGGGAATGGTGCCTCATGGAAAGCGACCCCGGGGTCTTCACCGAGCTCATTAAAGGATTCGGTGAGAGCCAAGGGGACTGTCCTGGGCCGGGGATCACGGGAAGAGGCCCAAGCTGGTTCCCTGCGGCCACCTCCCACCCGCGGCACTCTGAGGAAGGCGACTCTGGAAACCTGGAGTCGGGGAGGGGGGGCTGGCAGGGCTCCCGCCCGCTCCTCAGCCCGGGCCAGTCACGTTTCCTCCGCGTTTGAAGAACCACACCACGAGGGCAAGGATCGCGCCTGCCTCGTGCTTGGCTGTGTCCTCCGGACTCATCACACCAGCCTTGCCCCGACTGCCTGAGTCCCCCAGGCCACTGCCGCCCCTGCGCTCAGGTGGCCCTTGCGCCGCCCTACTCTGCGAACGAGCCCCGGTGCCCAGGTGTCTCGGGTCCCCGGCCCCGCAGGGCAAGCCAGGGTGTGGTGTGCTGTCTCCAGGGCCCGGTGCCCTGAGTCCCAAGCCTCCCCGGAACCCGAGATTCTAGTTGTTCCAAGCAGAACAGCGTGTGTTCCTAGCTGTGCGGGGCGTCCACGCGCGCTGACTGCTAGGCCACTTCGCTGGTTCTTTCGCTCCCGGCTGATTTTTGGTTTCTGGTGAAGTGTGTTTTCTTGAGCTAGTGCCACATGCTCACCTCTCTGGCTATATTCCTTGCTTTCCATCCTGAGTAATCAATCTATTTGACTTATTTTACCCTTCCCCATCTCTCCTTTTTAGGTAGTTTATCTGTTTACATTTGTTCAAGGATTATGAATTGTAGCTTTTGTGGTAAATCTTAGATTTAGGGGTAAAAATTAAACACTGATACATAGAGAGACTCATACGTAGTTGAATATTTGGAATATCATTAAGCATATTTTGTTCTATCCTTCAGCACACTGGTAGGGTTTGGGGATATCTAATGCGAATAAACCATGACAGTTCTAAAGAACTGGTAAACTCTGATACGGTGTATTAATTGCTATGTTAGCGTATGAACAAAATGTTTTAGGAACATGTGCAAGAGCACAGGCAGATGGAAAGGCATACATACACATTAGTGATGTTAAAATATATGACAAAGTGACTAAAACGTTTGTAACATGCTCTGCTTAAGAGTGTTTGACTCTTTTTTTTTTTTAAGATTTTTTATTCATATGGAACTGGGGTACAGGCCAGAGATGTGGATGTTGAGAGAATTCACCAGAGACAAAGAGTGGAGCAGAACAGGCAGATTGACAAAGTACACTGCTGAAGGGAGCAGCGGGCGGGTCAGGAGAGGTCTGCCTCTCCCTGTGGATCTCCGGGGCAGGCGGGAATCGAACTCATGTGGAAGTGGCTTTAGCTTCTTAGTGCTGTGCATTAACCATCTGTGCCACCAGGGAGGGCCAAGAGTGTTTGACTCTTAAGCAGGAAAGATAAACTGAGGCCAGATTTTATGCCACTTTGTATAGTTTGGATTGTCTTATAGTCAGTGGAGACTTGGCTGACAAAAGAATTTGAATGGTGAAATGACTTTTTCTTTTAATTAAAAAAAGTTGACTTTGTGTATTGTGCAGTCTGGATTGGAATGAACTGAGAGGAACTGGAAATCTCTTAAAAGGGCTTGTATCTGAGATGATTGGCTTTCATAAAGTAGGGGTTATAGAGCAGGTGGTAGATTCAACAGTTTTACTGTATTGAAGTCAACAGATTGGATGTAGGAAAAAAGGTGAACGTGACTTAGTGATTTCTAATTTGGGTGGATGGAGAACTACACAAGAAATGAGGCTTCATGGACAAGAAGGTGGGTTCAGTTTTGGAAATACACTGATGTGGAGATGTTGTCAGATTTAGATGTAAATATTATCATTTAAAACCTTAACTTATGACATAGAAGAGTTAAGGAAATATTGCATTAGGCAAGCTTATTAATATACTCAGTTCACAGCTGCTATTTCTGTATTATTTGTGCAGAAAATTTGGAAATTGAGTAAAATATGTGTAAGAGAGTGGTATGTAAGTACACCTTTTGTACTTGTTCTTAAGAAAATGTGAATAATAGCTATTAAAGGCTTGTCTCTTTTAGGGGAAGAGCTTTGTAATAAAATAAATGATAGTAGTTGCATAGTACCAGATAATTTGAAGAGAAAATAAGTTTATTCCTATTTTTTTTTACTCATCTAATTCATGGATTTTTAAAAGCTTTGGAAGATCATTCTTTCAAAAGTGAAACATCTTGCATTATCAATTTTATTGTAAATTTATTTTAAAAGTTTCATCATTGAAGGGAAACTAGTTGAGGATGCACAGTATGTTGGCAAAAGAAAGTTCTTATTAAATTAAGGAATAGATATGGTAGAACTATACTTTCATGGGTATGTTGCATATATAATACATAAATACATCAAAACAAACTAATAGTCTCCTATAAAATTATAAGCTATGAACTTCTGCTTTCTGCCAAGGTATAGTAATAGGAACTCATTTTACCTTTTCTGAAACAAACAAAACAGCTTTCACTTTAAGAAGCTTGAAAAATGAACAAATTAAATCTAAAGTAAAGCAGGTCAAAAGAAATAATAAGCATCAGAGTTAAATTAGTGGATCAGAAAAAAAAGAAACCAAAGTGATTTCCTAAAGATCAGTAATATGGAAAAGCCATTAGCTAGACTGATCAGAAAAATGAGATGAAATACAAATTACCAACAGTAGGAATAAGAGATGACATCACTACAGATTGTTCAAATATTAAAAAAAACAATGAGGGTAGATTTTCTGAACAACTGTATGCAGTAAGTTTGACAACTTGTGTAAAATGTACAGATTCCTTTTAAAACACAAATCATGAAGTTTACTCAAATAAATAACTACTGCAGCCTTACATAAGAAATTGAAATTGTAATTTAAAATCCACCCATGGGCCTCCCTGTTGGCACAGGGGTTAAAGTCAGGGTTGTCAAACTGTCTTTAGCCACTGCAGCATGAGTTCAGTTCCCAGCCAGCGAGCTAACCCATAAGGTAAAGGAGACTGCCCCTGTCTCCCCCTGCTCCTCAACAGTGGATTTCATTAGGTCGGCCTGTTCTACTCTCCACTCTGTCTGGTGAATTCTCTCACCCCCTGCACCTCTGTCCTTTACCCTAGCTCCTGTATGCATAAAAATAAATAAATAAATAAAATCTTCCCATAAAGAAAACTAACCAAAATGACATCACTTCTGAATTCTATCAAATATTTATGGAGTAAATAAGCCTATTCTACACACACTTTAAAAAAAAATGGAGAGAAAGAAATACTTGCCAACTCATTCTGTGGTAATGGTATAAGAAAGACAAGAAAAGGAAACTACAGAACTGTTCATCATCAACAGATGCAAATATTCTAACCAAAATTTTAGCATGTCAAATCCAATGGTGTAATAAAAAGACATTAGCCTGGCTGGGGTTTGTCCTAGGAATCTAAAATTGGGTTAGCGTTCAAGAATCAATGAAATTCACCATTTAACAAAGTAAACAAAAATCCATATATTATCTCAGTAGATTTGAAAATCATTTGACAAAATGTTGCATCTGTTAAGAATTACGGAGTGTTGGATTTTACTACTTGTCAGCTGCCACTATAGGTGCTGGCTGACAACTTTAGAGAGAAAGGATTGTATTATTCATGGCACAGCAGGCAGCAAGAGGTTCGTGGTTGCACTGGTTTCCTGTTCTCCAAGTCCATGGAAATGGACATAGACTGAGATGGCTGCAGGTAGTAGTCTCTGTCATAGTAGAGGAACCCCAAGCTTAGGAGGCTCCCAATTTAATGTAAGTGCTGCTAGCAAACCCATTCAACCTTTGGCTGCATTGAGACATGGAAAACAAACAAACCTTCCTTGTGATATAGGGAGACACTCTCTCTTCAAGTTTGTTTACTTCATTACATCCTTGAAAAGATAGTCTAAAAGGAATCTGGCAATTCTCAAAATACAAACTGAAACAGGATAAACCCATTCAGAATTGTCACCAAATAAAGTCTACCCTTAATTTCTATACCAAGTATACCATTAGTTAGCCTGTCCTGATCCATAGGGCTGGTACCCAATCTGTTTAATTGATCTCTTGTAGTGTTTACATTAGAAAGGCAGGTAGCTTGGCAAGTTTTGATAAGGATCTTCCCATTTTGCTAAGACATTAACCCAGCTCGATGTGTTGGTGATTGCATAGACTGCTTTGGTCTGTGAGAAGGATGTCTAGTGGAATTCCCCCATCTACAACAACTGTGGCCAGTGAGTTAAAGCATATCTGAATGGTGTTTGGAGCTGTAATGTTAGTTCTTTAATTTGAAGGTCACTTGTGACCGCTTTTAAAATACATGTCACCTGCTTAACTAGTTGTGTCTAGTCCTTGTTTTTCAAGAGTTTGCCTTGTGGTCACATTCACCAGCTAAATGGCATTTGTTCATAACATAGGGTGACTGAGAATGAGTTTGAGAAACAGATATGGGGGTATATTTTTGTGGGAAGTACAGAAGCTGGGACATGCCTGCTGCTGTTGGTAGAGAAGTTAGGACAGTCACAGTGGTCAAAACTAGGTGAGATCATAACTTGCAGTCATTAAGTTTGAGACAGTGCAAAAGTTGGGATATTTTTCTTGGGGAGATAGTCTCTTTTTTTAAAGATGTATTTGTTTATTGATACAGAACCGGGGTACAGGCCAGAGGTGCAGGAGCCATGAGAGGCTTCACTAGAGACAGGGTGGGGAGCAGAACAGGCCAACCGACGGAAGTACACTGCTGAGGGGAGCAGCGGGTGGGCCAGGAGAGGTCTGCCATGCCATGTGGCTCACCTCTGGGGTGGGGATTGAACTCACGCTGAAGTGGCTTTAGCTTCTTAGTGGTGCGCTTTAACCCGCTGCACCACCAGGGAGGGCCTTCTAGAAGTAGTTTCCAATAGATCTCAAATAGATTTATGCCACTAGTTTCATAGTATAAATGTTAGTCAATATATAAATGTAAGACTTATTTTAATTTTACTGCTCTCTCACTTTGGAAGTGTTTTGCATGAAAAATTATAAGGGCATTCTTTTAAAATCCAGTTCAACTATCCAAGAAAAAAAGTTTTTTTTTTCAAGATTTATTTTTATTTATGCATAGAAGAACTAGAGTACAGGCCAGAAAGGTAAAGGGTGACAGGATTCACCAAAGACAGAGTCGGGAGCAGAACTGGCAGATCTATTGAAATATACTGCTGAGGGGAGCGCCTAGGATATGGGAGAAGTCTGCTGTGCGGATATAGAAGTCTGCAGTGCTGTGTGGGTTACAGCCCTCGCTCTGGGGAGTGAACTGGTGCTGATAGCTTCATAGTGCTGATAGTAACCCCTCTGCCACCTGGAGGCCCCTCCATGAAAATTTTTGTGATGAGCATAGATATAGTAATGATCTCTCCTATTTCTAAAATGCATCCTGTGTATCTTTCATATGCAGTTTATACATGGTGCTCGGTCTTGGAGTTGTGTGCGCTTGAGTCCTACTGGACTGTGGAGTTGTTTGCAGTCGTTTATTGTTTTCTTTTTTTAAAGATTTATTTATTTATACAGGCGGGATGGTGGTGATGGTGGAGGATTCACCAGAAACAGCAGACAGGCAGAGCTACTGAGATACACTGCTGGGGGGAGCAGTGGGCGAGTCAAGAGAGTCTGCCATACTATGTGGGGGGCTGTGATAGTTTCATAGTGCTGCGCTTTAACCTGTTGCACCACTAGGGAGGGCCCCAGTTTATTTTCTGTCCTTGCCAGGACTTAGTATTGTATTTGATAGATAAGAAATATTTTGTTAAATACCAGTATTTCATTAACTTTAAAGCGTCTCTCATCTAACTTTTTACTTAATATATATCTATTATGTGATCTTCACAGAGTGATTCTTTATGTTTAGTGTTTGATAACAAATTACCTCACAAGAATGGTGTGGATTAGATGAAGCAGGTGGTATACTTGCTTTATACATGAGGAAAGTGAGACACTGAGACATTTTCTTTGTCAAGGTGAGACACTTTAATTAAGACAGTGCTGGGCTTAGAACCCAGGTATTTTTGAGTCATTGTTTATTTTTCTTTTCATTTTACCATGTGGTAAATGAAATTGTACATGAGGGGTTTCAAGATTAAATGTATATAAGGAGATAGATGCTAATAGGTGATGTTTTCCTCAGACAAAGAGGTGTGTGTAACATAAAGTTTATTAAACATTTGCATTCATCCATGCAAAAGATGTGAGCATTCCTTTATTCTTTGCAGTTTTTGTTTGTTTTGTAATGATAGATAAAATGATTTAATATTTGGCCATTTTACAGTTGATTTCTAGTAGTAGTAACCAGTTCATCTTTTGTGCCCTTCTTGATACATAAAGCTTCACACGTACAAAGTTCTCTCCTCCTAACACTCCCCCTTCAGTTTGTAAATGTTTAGCAGCCTGTTGCTGCATATTCAGGTTGTTTTTCATTCTTCTCTACTATAATATAGTAGCATTCTCGCTCTCTGTCTTATACACACACACATATTTAATATATAGTGAACACGCAAATTGAGACATGACATGGTTTGAATGCCCAAACTCATAGTTAGCTGACATTTTGGTTGACCCAGCATTTTTGTTTATTAATCATAGGATTTTGCAAATGGTCAAAGATTCTTCTAGCTCTCACTTGAGAATAACTGGAATATTAGAAAGTGCCCATACTTTGGAACCAGATGAGGAGTAAAATTAATTTTCTGGCATATACTAATAATTTAAATGCACATCTTGCATAAGATACATTCTTTGAAGGGATTAGAGAAGATGCATTTAAAGCACTTTATACATAGAACAAGTATTTACTATTGGTAAGTGACATTTTTTGTATTGTGGTAATAATACTAACATTTAGTTTAAAATCAGGGACTGTGTTACATACATCTTCTTTATCTCATTCTTTTCAACAGCGCTATTAGCATTGGAACACAGAGTTTATATCTTCATTTGGCAGTATATAATAAGGGTTTGCCCACCTTAGGGCTATTGACATTTTGGGGATGGATAATTCTTTATTCTCAAGGGCTGTCCTGTGCAATGTAGGATGTTTCATTTCTCTGGCCTCCACCCATTGTATGCAAAGTTCCCCTGCAAACACACACACACACACACACACACACACACACACACACACGATAATAGTGACACCAGAAATGTTTCCAGACGTTGAGAGATGTTCCCTTGGGGAGAAATTACACTGGTTGGGAGCCACTATACCAGAGAATGAACATGTAGGGAAAGGGAGAAAAACCCTGATTTTGTTGAAAATATAAAATTGGAATTTGGGAAAAGAGTCGGAACTCATTGTATGTATGAAACTCACTGTTAAGTGGCAGTTACTACTAAAAAAAGGTCTAATTTAAAAAAAAAAGAATTCTCTGCTAAGAGAAGAGCAGGGAAATTTAGTAGTTGAATGAAAAGAGTAGATGACAGCCAGAAATTGAGTCTGAAAAGGAGTAATCATGGGTTGTATCTCAGTGAAAATAGATTCTTGAAACTTTTTAAAATTACAGAAGAGACATATTCCCATGGTAAATAAATTGGAAATATAGTAAAAGAAGTAGCAGAATTTGGCCATGAGTTTTATCACTATTATCATTGTAATTTGCCATGTCTTATTGTCCCCAAATTTGCATTTCTTGAAGTTAATATTTTATTTGATGGTGATAGAAAAACGCATTATTTTGTTTTTGAAGAAATAATTTCTTATTTCAGGTTGCCGAGGAGCGCAAGTAGAAGAAATATGGAGTTTAGAGCCGGAGAATTTTGAAAAATTAAAGTAAGGATAAGATTAGTTGTGTTAACAAAATAATGTTCATACTTAATCAGACTTTTGTCTGATTACTTTAGTTGGATCACTTTAAACCAACTACATTACTGCTATGTGTTTTTTTAGTTCTGTGAGCTAGATCTCATATAGCCAAGAACTTAAGACTCATAGACATGTACAAGAATGAAAACTTTCTCTAGTTCTGTATCATAGACTCATAGACATGTACAAGAATGAAAACTTTCTCTAATTCTGTACAAAGTATATTTGACTGATTTAAAAAATAATATTCATTTATAGAACATTGTTAGAACATGGAAAACAATGGGTTATTGTACAAAGGCATGATTAATAGTATTCTTAATATTGTATGTTCTTTTCATGGTTAGTGATAACTCACAACTTAACTACCTATCACACTGCTTCTTTGGGAGGTTGCTGATTAAACTGCGAAAGTAGGCAGATACCAGGAAGTATTCCTCTTCTCTGCCTTCTGACTGGAATCACCTCTCTGATCCTTACTTCCCAGTCTCCTTTCCCTAAGCATGGAGACTAATTTTAATGACTGGAAGTGTTTAACTTAGAGTTTAGGAACAAGAAATAGGCTTTTAAAAGCAAAAGTGGAGACTGACAGGTTATGGCTGCTGTTTTTATAAGTTAGAGTGAGGTAATTTGCTCCCTCTCCTTGTTCCCTGAAAAAGATCAACCACTTAAGTTGGAATTCTTAAGGGGAGATTAATTAAAAATGCATCATTTGCATTGTCTTAAAGACAGGATAAGAAAGGATAGGGACAATTTTTATTGTTTGGAAGGCAGTTTTGAAAGAGACTGTAGAGAAAATGTGGATGACTTCTATATATATTTCAAGATTAGTTTGGGAATTGTTTGTGAATTCTGTAGTTACATGAAGAAGACTTCCTATATTTCATACTTTGTATACCACTTATCACTTACCTGTAAATATTCTCCTTGAAATTACTCATATATATATATATATATATATATATATATTGGAATTCAGTTTAGGGATAACACCTTCTAGTTTTGCACTATTTTTATTTTCTGTTTGTAAATAAGGAAATATAAGGGAGAAATTAATATTCCACAACTTTGAGAATAAACCATTATACTTCATTTTTAACTGATACAGTTTTTATGTTTTATTTGCCTTGTGTTAGGCAGTATTCCAGTGACTTTGAATAGCAATGGAAATTTCTGTCTATCTGTCTATCTATCTAATTGATTGACAGAACTTGCCAGTTTCACAGGTAAGGCCTTTAGTTTTTGCCAAACAGAAAACGTATTCTGAATAATAGAAGTCTTTTTAAAAACTCTCAAATTTGCACTGTATTTGTTAAGAAGCTGGGTAAAATTTAATGTTATCGACAGAATATCACTAAAAAAAAGCAGGGCTTGATGTCGCTGTTTGTATTTTATTTTGTAGGCCGGTTCACGGGCTAATTTTTCTTTTCAAGTGGCAGCCAGGAGAAGAACCAGCAGGTTCTGTGGTTCAGGACTCCAGACTTGACACAATATTCTTTGCCAAGCAGGTATGTCCTTAAACAATTTGAGTCTCACTGGCAGTGCCTTTAACAGTCTGTTCTACTCTGTGTGGAGCATACCTCAAACTTTCCGTTCTCATGACTCCTTCATATTCTTAAAAATTACTGAGCTTCCCAAAGGAATTCTGTTTATACATCTATCAATATTTATTCTATTATACATTAAAATTGAAACATTTAAAAGAATTGTTGGCTGATTTAAAAATAAATTCATTACATGTGAACACAAATAACATCTTCAATGAAAAATAGCAAGTGATAAGAGTGCATTGCATTACATTTTGCAAATATCTAATATATAGCTTCGTAGCACACAGCTACCTTCCTTTGTCTGCTTTTTTCTTTAGTGTTAGTGTTTCTTTAGTCTTTAGTGTTTTTGCTTTGAAGTATATGAAAAAAATTGTTTCAATAGTTCTGCACAATTGTCACTGTTTCATATGTGTAATTGGAAAGGAAGGAGTACTTTAATATCTTTTTCAGTTAATTATGGATATTCTCTTTGATAGCATATCAAAACTTGAGAAATGTTGTATTTTTGGAGATTTCATTGCAGTGTGAAATCTGAAACCATCTCCATGACTTTTGTATTCTATGGTGTTGAATTCCTCAGTTTTTCTTGTTCTGTGAATGAATGTTTTATTCACATAGGATCTGATAACATCCTGTGTGGGTTATTTGGAAATGTCACCAAATTATGTAGATCTTTTTAAGCGATAACATATTTGACTATATAAGTTACATTTGCTACGTGAATTACCATATAGATCATCATAAAAGTTAATTGTCACGAAACTTAAAAAGTTAACAGTAATGGGTCTACATCTTATAAAATTCCAATGTTTACTTGAAAGTTTAAATTTTGATAAGAACAACAAATATTATCAGGTATTTCCTTTGAAGAGATAGACTCATTTTACTAATTTTCAAGGAAATATTAGCTAAGTACTCTGTGTGAAGAACTGTATTGTGTGTCATTTATTCTTTCAAGTAAAAATGTTTTAAGAAATGAATAGAGAAGCTACCTCACAACTCAGTTACACTTAGTGCTTTTCCTTGAAATGACTGCACATTTGGTTTGTAACAGAATTGTTTTATTGTCTTGGCCTATTTCATTCAACAAGATATTGAAGACTTGTACTCGGAGATTAAATTTTTTTTTTTTAAAGATTTATTTACTTATGCACACAGAACTAGGGTACAGGCCAGATGTGTGGTGGGTGAGAGGATTCATCAGAGACAGAGTGGGGAGCAGAACAGGCAGATTGACAAAGTACACTGCTGAGGGGAGCAATGGGCGGGTCAGAAGAGGTCTGCTGTACCATCAGGGTCAGCTCTCTGGCTAGGGATTGAACTCGTGATGCAGTGGCTTTGGAGAACTTCCTAATGTAGTGCTTTAACCCGTTGTGCCACCAGGGTGAGCCCAGAGATTGAAATTTTATAAAAATAACTACTGGTGCCACAAAGATATTCTTCATTAAAGATATTCTGCCTTTTTGTTTTGTTAGTTTTGTAACAATGTGTAATGTGTCAGTGAAATGGTTTAATGTCATGACCTCGATTCATACCCACAATTGCTATTATACTGTCAGGGTGAATGTGAAATCTGGTAAAAATTCCAAAACTGTCTTAGAAATTGCTATGAAAAAATGTTTTCAGAAGATTTTTTTTTTAGTTAATAGTGGTTTACATTCTTGTTTCCGTAATAGAAATGTAGGATCCCCCCACCAGTGTACGGAAGTAATTTTGAGTTCACAAATTCCTTGAATAGGGTCTTAGAGATTCCCAAGGATTCATGGACCACACTTTGAGAATTACTGTTCCAGAGTATATGATGAGATGTTTAACATTTTTACACACTTCATATATATGGTTCATTGTTTGAAAAGGGGAATGATAAAAGAAGTTTGCTGAATGCTTAAGCAGATGTGATTATATTTGTTTGAAAATTGAACCAATTTTGAGACTCAAAAAAATTACTTAGGATATCTGAGTTAGTAACTTCTGGAGTTCCATGATAGTTTTCTAGTTCTGTGTTACATTTTTATATTAGTGTTATTTAATTGTTTATTTGTATTATTCTAGCCATGTGTATATTTTGGATTAGTGATTTCCTAATTTTTTATTATGTTATGCCGTAAGTTTTTATTAAACACAAAGATCATCAATTCTTCAATAATAACTATTAGTCTTTTTAGTATATGTCTCTTATGAACCTATGCTAGAAACACTATAGTATCTATTATATAAAAATGTAATCGTTGTGTCTTAGGCCTTAAGAACTTGTAGTAATGATTTCCAATCCAGGGTCCTTCTTGGGCTCCTAGGAATAGTTTCAGAAATTAAAAAAAAAAAAGTTGATAAAATCATTTGTTTGTGATAAGGTCATTACTATTAACTGTATTAACTAGATATATAGTTTGGGTATTGATGGTTGGAATTGTACCAATTTAGAGAGGAAACATTGACTCAATGCTAATTATATGCTCTAATTGGAGGACTATGTGTTTATGTGTATATCATTGTTAATTAAATATGGAGAAAGTAAATTGTTTCCTAGTGGTTAGAATTTGGGTGTAAGAATCCGGGAATGATTAATTTGTTTTCCTTTATCTGGGTAACATTGGTTTACAACCCTCTATGTGATTTAGGGGAGTAGGTTCTCTCCTCCTCAGATATATATTATACCCCCACCATCCAGGCACCCATAACCCTTCATCACAGATCATTGGGCTCACTCGCTTCTTTGTTCTCCCATTAGTAGTCTCAATTTGCAGTCATATTTCTAGGGTTTATTTTGGTCACGTCTTTTTTGTGTCTGTGTGTGTATTTTTTTGTTGTTGTTCTCTTTATATTCCACATGACTGAAATCATCCAGTAATGCTTTTCTGTAAAGCATGGTTTTGTTAATATTGATCTGATTATATAGCAAAAGTGTGGCTTACTTTCCTAACACCTCGCATCAGTACTGGGTTTGTTTCACAGTCTTTCAGGTAGGAATGATTGTTTACAGTATGTGTGATACTGCAGTATGTGTTTGAAGAATGATGAATTGTTGTAGTCCTTGCCTTCAAGGTTGCTTAGAGTTTAGTGAGGAGATTGGTATTAATCAATGAAATGCAAAATTAAAGTGGTGGTAAGTGCTGACTGAAGTGAAATAAGAACTTTATTATGAACCTTGAAAACAATCTTTAACTCTGTCCTTACTTTTTACACTTATTATTGAGTATTGGGTCCCTAAAATGACTCTCATTTTGGACAGAAATTTAGAGTTTCTTCAAAACCATCCTCAGGTTTTATGTTTTGCTGGAGAGACATATAAACTATACTGAAAGCTGTTAATGGTCATAATTAGGATTTATTACTGTGAAAGGGTACAGTAATAAAATCAGCCAAGGGGAGAGATGCCCATCCAGAGTTTTCAGCTGTCTTTTCTCAGGGGAGTCCTAGTGAGTGCCCACTTTCCTGGCAGTGATTTGTGACAGTATGTATGGAGTATTGCCATCTAATAACCTCAGTGGATTCTTAACAACCTGTGTTTTTATTGGGCCTCAGTTGTATAGACCTAGTTGACCATCCACATGGCAGACCTCAGTCTCCAGTTACCCTGGAGATTCAGCTGATTACTGGTGGTCAAAAACATCTCCTATAACTCTTATTGTTAATTTGTGTGTGTGGTCCCAAGCCCTCAGGTAAACAGTGACACTTATGAGACATGGCTTTTCAATAGCCACAAGCCTCTTGGTCATCTTGCATGTGAGGTTACCTCCCAGGAGCCAAAGACACATTCCAGGGCTCTCTGGGCAAGGTTGGATTCATTCTGATCATATAAAAATTGGACTTGACTTATTCAGGGACAAATGAAAGCTTCCTTGAGTAAATGACAATTCAGCTGAAATGTAAAGGTATTAAATGGAGCAAGAGGTTGAGGATCATCCCATGTTACTAACAGATTTATTGCACACGGTAGTAAGACTAGTGAAAGGTGCTAAAAGAAGTCCAGAGTACCAGAGATGACATGAGATAATGATGCTGAACAGGGGGTGTATTAGTAAGGACTAGGCAGAGTTAGGTATAGAGGGACAATGACATATTAAAAAATACAAGTTTTTCTTTTTATATCAAAGAACTATTAAGATTGCAGGCTCTTTCTTTCTTTGTTGTGGTTTTCTGCCCCCGGATATTACTTCACGGCCGGGAGATTGTTGGAGTTTCACCTATTCTGTCTCAGTTCCACAGTCACAGGCAGTAGGAAGGGGATCACACATTCTGTTCCCTTAGTGGACATTTTCCAAAATTTGCCCTTGGCACATTCTTTCTGTTCTTTGTCAGGAACTCAGTCACATGACTGTACTGGGCAGCAAAGAAGGCTGGGGAAGTTACCTTCATTTTAGGTGGCTGTGGACCCAGATAAAATGTAAGCTTCTAACCCTGTGGGAGAAGGAAACGATGGATATGGAGAACAACTATGGACTCCTGCCACCAGTGCAGAGGGTAGATCATGTAGGGCATTTCAGGCTGTGATTGAGAGTTTGTATCAGCTGGTGGGTTAGTGGAAGGTTTTTGAGATGGTTTATAAAGGGTGAGGTGATCAGTTTCATTTAGAAGAGACCACTTTGGCTACAGTGTAAATAATGCATTTGAGGAGTGGTGTGTGATGTAAGACTGGATGGCTATTAGTTAGAAGGCTTTTATAGATATTATTTCAAGATCAGACAAAAAAGACAGGCAGTAGGGATGTGAACAGATTTGAATAATATTTAGATACAGTAATTAGTACCTTCTGTTGTAATGATTGCCTGTGGGGATAAAGGAGGGAGATGTATCAATCAGTGATAATGTCCCTGTCTTCCTTATTCCTTCTTTTAAAAAAAAGTCATCAGGTATACAGAGTGGAATTCAGATAATTCTTAATTGATGGATGACACACACTTGTTGCCTCCTTTTCTTTATTTGATTATTTTACTTGTAGGAAGCACCCAATCTTTACC